ACAGCATGATCAAAGGGACATGAAGAAAGAACTTACCACTTGGGTGCACCCCCTCTGCCAAAGAGCCCTGATCCAAAAACCCCAGCTGACTTTCCCCGTTACCCCCTGTGGCACACTGCACACAGCATCAGACCCACAAGGGTGGAGGCACTGAGCTACTCCATGCCCAGGCGAGGGAAACTGGACTGCTTTTGACTTGTCTTCAGTAAGGCAGAGTGCCAGACACTTACTGGATTGGGCAGTTCTGGCTTCGATCATGGGGGTGTAGACTCCTACCCCCAGCTCTGAGCGGGCACCCAGACGGAACTTATACAGCGTGTCTGGCTTGAGACCTTCCACAGCATACGAGGAGGTTGGGTCAAACTCCACCTTTTGCTAGCAAATAAAACACAGATTATTTGGTTTAGCTGGAGAATACAGAAAAGCTGGTGCTCAGCTCCCAATGCCAAGGCAATAGGCAGCCCCATCACCCATTCTTGCTGCCACTTCACCTGGAAGGCACTTATTACAGCAGCTCTCATGCCGCTATAAAGACAGGAGGAGGAAAGGATCGTGGGAGTCTGTGATGCTGCCATGGCACAGTTCTCACTGTGGTGCCCTGAAGCCAGCACTACTTTGGATATATGAAGAGCTGGACTTCCTTTAGGGACTTGGCAGTAAATGTGGAAGGGCTCTCTCTAGGCCACCCTCAACCTGCTCCTTAGGTGTAACCACTCCTACAACTGCAGACGCACATGGGAGGCCATTTCAGACCTACCTAGCAGCCCTATTGTTTAAAGGCACCAGGAGTAAGGATGCCTCAAGGATGGTGTCATGGTATTCTGGAGCCTTTCCAATCCCAAATCAGTCATTAGTTACTTTGCTGGGCATCAACACGCACTGCTGAGGTCACTTACGCAGAAGACAGACAGAGATTGCCACACTTCTACCATACACCCCGGAGACAGAAGAAACACAGAGAAGAAACAGTCCCGTTGCCACCCCAGCTCAAGTAGACACCCTTCCCAAGCTGCTGAATTGTGATGTCTGGCCTCAAGTGCTGCTGCACAGAGGCAGGATTCTCACCTGAGTGCCATCTTCCCCTTCCCAGTACAGCAGCTCGTATTTAGTAATGCGTTCCTGAGAGGCGGGCAGCCATGTCAACAGGATGCGGGTATCTGACTCCGCTTCTGCCTGGAAGTCAGCTGGCTGGGCAGGAACTAGGGACCAAACACATGGTTAGTGCCAGGAGGCAGATGCAGGGGAAAGCAGTCACGTGGCTTTCCAGAGTCTGCATTTCACCTTGGGAAGATCCTCCTTCATTCCTTCTGGACCCTCCCTTCTTTCCTCTTCCCCTTACTGTGCTCTTGGAACAACCCAGGCAACAAGCAAGTGCCTCTGGGACCCAGGCAGGTTACTATGGGAATCACGCCCACTTCCAGATCCTGACTGCCTCTCGCTTCCTTCCTTCCACATGCGTACTCAGGCTCCAGAAGAGCCCAGCGCAGTTACATAGCTGCCAAAATCCACTTCCAGGACCCTGTGTCAACATTTTAGCCGCTGTATCCCAGACAAAACTGTGGGCTGTGCTGCTTGTACAGAGATAGATAGCAGCTCCTCAGGACAAAATGACAGCTTGGATCTGATGGCTGTGGGGCAGGGAAACCATTCTGACATGCAGCCACCGGAGCACCAAGCGAGGCTGCGATGCCTGGTGCAGATCAGACACGCCTCCGAGGTGGACACGAAGCTGCGGCACCTCGCTCCATACATACCCCCTTGCTGCGTTTTGACCTGGATGATGTCCGAGGGGGGTCCGTCGCCCACCGAAGTGAAGGCCAGGACGCGGATGCTGTAGGTGGTTCCTGTGATGAGGCTCCCCACGGTGGTGAGGTGGCTGTCGTCAGTGTTGTGTTTCTGCCACATGCTCAAAGGCAGGTGTGGGTCGGTGGTATAGTAAACGCGGTAGCCTCGGATCTGCCCGTTTGGCTCCTCCGGCTGCTCCCACTGGACCAGCATGGTGCTGGCGCTCAGCATCCGCGCCTGGACTTTGAGGGGTGGACTTGAAGGAGCTTGCTCTCCTGTCCGGGCCTCGACCAGCTCGCTGGGGGGACCCCTGCCAATGTTATTGACTGCGATGATCCGGAACTCATACTCTGAGAAGGGGCTGAGCCCACCTATGCTATAGCGGGTTGTTGCCACACCGTCCACTTCCTGGAACTGACCCTCCAAGGATCTGGGCTTGTACTGGATGACATAATATGAAATGGGGTCGGAGTTGCCCGAATCCCAGGTGAGGGTCACACTGGTAGCTGTCGTTTCAGTCACTAATGGCTCTGTTGGAGGTTTTGGCAGTGCTGCAATTGGAAGGCAGAGAGGTGTGATTTAAATAATTCAGTCAGCTCAAACCCTGCAATGTGCACGGGGATAAAAATGGAGCTGCCACCTCCCATTATCATTCTTCTTTAAAAGGCAGAAATCATTTCATACTCTAGAACATGCATTTTTGTATTACCATATATTGCTTGAAGTGGTTCTTAATGGAAGGATAAACAGAACAATCATGTTATTAGACGTGCTTGACGCACTTACCAGCAGCAAGCTAAATAAAGGTAATTCAAGGGGGATGCAGGAATGTTTCTGTCATGGGGGTTCAGCTGGCAGTGGGAAGGTGCTTGCTGGGCTGGACTGGCCCCAGAAGCCAGGTGTACAGCTGATTTACAAAGGGATACAGTAAAGCATACACTGGCAGTCTACCTCAGGCTTTCAAGGACAGATGACACTTATCCACCCCTTCCTTTGGAGAGCTGCAAGCTTGACTCTTGCCAGCTCTTGGGTGTGCAGCCTGCACATGAACAAGGAGCAGGTCTGGTAGTTTCAATGCACTTGCTACAGTCAGCTCTGTGTCATCTCGTTTCCGGTCTGCTCTGCAAATGGTCTACTTTCCAGCAAGGGCAGGAGAAGCCAACACTGGGTGAAGGAGTTCGGGACAGAGGCAGTAGGATATCCAGAGCAAAGGTGTGGAAAAGACAGAGAAACAAAGAGGAAGGCAAAGGGCTACAGGAGCTAAGCAGACCATTCCCTGTCCTGGGGAGGCATTAGGCATCACATCAGCCAAAAAGGAAGTGAGACAAAGTTGTTCCCTCAGTTACAAAGAGGTAAATACTGAAAACCATCAGTGCAGTTCCTGCCTCCTCCCTCCATATGCAAACCACCTCCCCATCATGTCCCTTTCTTTCATACACTTGAGTAAGTACTATAACCAAGGCAAACTCTGATCTCTGTAAGAAAAGGGGGGCTGGGGAAGGGACTGCCTAGCAGGCGCTGTAAGTAGAGGGAGCAGAGTGTGGCTAAGGTTAAAAGCATCCTCTGACTGGCACCAGGGAAAAGAGAATTTGCTGTTAATCTCCAGGTCATAAAGGGCTAACATTCAATTCTGTGATTTGTTCAAGCAGAGACTTGGTACTAAAGGTGGCCATAGTGCAGGAGAGGGCCTGCAAGAACAGACAGACTCAAAAGATGACACATCTGTGGAAATCTGAGCTACAAACCAACTGCAAAGAGAGGTGGAAAGGGATAGTGTGAATCTGCTTGGCTCTAGATGGGAAAGGCAGGACAAGTTCTTCAGCCTCCTGTTAAGGAGCTGTCCTGATGAGCTGCTTATACTCAGTGGTCATCAGTCCACAATAATGTCTGCTTTGGGGCAAAGCTACCTGTGAAATGGGGGCAGGATGCATGCCTTAAGAATAGCAGCAAAAGAGAAATGGAAAGAGGTAGAGCAGTGAAGGAAAAAAGAAAACCGACAGAAATAAGCAACGATTTTAAAATAAATGCCCACAGCTCCTCCCTGCAGGGGTAGAGAGGATGCTCATTCTGATGAGGCCCATGGAAACTTCACATTGCTGGGATTAACCTTCTTGCCCTGCCCTTACTGCAAGAGCTTTGTGCAAACAGCTCTTTGACTGCAGATATCCACAGACCCCTTCCCCAGGACAGCCTGTGGCTTGTTGCTGTGCTGAGCTGATCCTGCTGATGCATGGAACAAGCCAGAAATTGCTGGGATGAGCATAGACTTAATGAGTTGCTTCGTGGTGTAACAGGGACCCAGCCTGACACAAGCCTGTCTTCCATCATGCCACATGTAGAGAGAGAGGAAATGACCTTCAAAGCAAATATGATACTCTGAGCAGGAGAAAAACTTGTGAGTTTGGGAACCTCCCTTGCAAAGTAAAAAAGTTACAGGAGACTGCAGACAGTTGGCTTCACCCAAAAGGACTGGGGCAAAGGTCTACACTGCTGAAAACCACTTAGGAACACCGTGAGAAATAACTCCTTACCTTTAACAGTGATCTGGGCTGTGGCTTCTATCATGCCGAGGGAGGAGATGGCCACACAGGTGTAGTTGGCAGACTGCACAATGTTATTCAGTTCCAGGACGTTCCTTCCGACGGGCATCTCATCCTCTTTGGTCAGTTCCTCCACACCAGCCATCCACTTCACATAGGGCATCGGAGCACCTACTGCCACGCATGTGAGGTTCACGCTCCCCCCAGGCATCACCTCGTGGTTGCTCGGAGGGATAGAGAATCGAGGAGCAACACGTCGCACTGAAACAAGGAGGACACAGCTAGTAGGGTCACAGAACCAGCAGAGAGCACTCAGTTACATTGTGGGGGTACGCGAGAGGGGTTCAACGTTTTTGCCCGTCTCTCCCTCAGGACAGATAAAATGAAGTGCCAAAGCTGTTCATTCTTTGCCAAATTGCACACACTTTGCTCTCCTTCCTTAGCCACTGGCATCTTATTAGAACCCATTAAGGGATGGCTCAATCCATTCCCTGCAAACAGAGCCTTTTGAAATCATATTACTAACATGAAACATTCCTCCATTTAAATTACATCTCTCTAATTAGAGAGCATGCACAAATGCCAGTCACACACTCTCTGCGCAGGGCCCACTGAAGCTCTGCAAAACGGAATTACGTGCTCAATTTATTAGCTCTAGAGTAAAGCAACCCGTCCCCTAAACCTCACAGGGTTTGGGCAGGAGCAGCAGCAGGGTTTCCTTCTGAATTAGCACACGTGTGCTACTAAATAAAATAAAATTCCTTTCAAAACGTAACTCAGGTTCTACCTCGGCTCAGAAAAAAGTCACCAGAGCTGCATGACATTGTTGGGGCCTGAACAGATCACCTTGCTGGGCAGGAGAGAACTAATCCTGACAGATGTGAGATCATATCCATTTTGACAGAAGAGAGCTAGGCTGGCAGAACCCTCCCCACCTTTGTGGTGGCACTTTGGGAGATGTATTCCTCCTTATTTCATTGCACAGCTTCTCTTCATATCAATCCCTTGCTGGGTATTTAATTCAAGACTTATTTGTAAGCAACTCTCAGCTACAATAAAGCTCTAAAGCTGCCTGCCATATGCATTCTTGTCAGGAAAATGACACTGAGAAATGAGGCCCCTTCTTCAGGGTTAGTGTTATGGGCCTATTTAAGCAAGGGTACAGAAACAACTGTGCTCGCTAAATCTTTGTCTCCTCTGGGCAAGCTCATTTTAGTCTGCAGTTAAAAAGGGAAATTGCTCAAACTTGTCTCGCCCAGCAGCCCTGCTCCCCCCTAGCCTCCTGTACCAGAAAGGGGGCCCCAGAGCATCAGCCGGGCTCACGAGTGAGGAGCTCCTGAGGAGCATCTCCCTGCCAAACACATGCCTCCCTCCAGCGGCGGGCTGGGGCTGGCGGAGCGGCCGAGGGCCGCA